TTCAAGCAATTCTCCTGCCTCAGCCTCCCGAGTAGCTGGGATTACAGGTGCATGCCCCCACACCCAGGTAATTTTTGTATTTTTAGTAGAGATGGGGTTTCACCATATTAGCCAGGATGGTCTTGATCTCCTGACCTCCAGTGATCTACCTGCCTCAGCCTCCTAAAGTGCTGCAACTACAGGCATGAGCCACTGTGCCAGACCTATCATTATTACTAAGTTCTCAACATAATTGAATGACACTGAACATACTCTTCAGGCAAACTCATAACCATTTATTTTTACTACTTCTAAGAAATTGTTTTTGACCATAGATCTTAAAAGATGGCTTGCACCAATGCTTAGAAAAGCCGATATACAGTAATCGAAATTAATGTTCCTATGTTTGGAGAAAGAAAACTCCAATATTAATTAAAAGCCTTAAACACAAGGACCAGGACCATTGCTACAGGAGCACATTTGCTTTGAAGCTTAATGTCAAGGAATGTATGTGTCTGTGGGATTTAAAATTCTCCAGGAAGCTACCAGGATCCTAAGCTGAGAAGCCAGATGCTCCATAGAAATAAATGGGAGGGGCTGGGCGCGGTGGCTCACGCCTATAATCCCAGCACTTTGGGAGGCCGAGGCGGGTAAATCACTTCAGGTTAGGAGTTCAAGACCAGCCTGGCCAACATGGTGAAACCCTGTCTCTACTAAAAATATCTAAAAAAATTAGCCAGACATGGTGGTGCATGCCTGTAGTCGCAGCTACTCAGGAGGCTAAGGCAGGAGAATCCCTTGAACCTGAGAGGTGGAGGCTGCAGTGAGCCAAGATCATGCCACTGCACTCCAGCCTGGGCAACACAGTGAAATTCCACCTCAAAAAAAAAAAAATGGCCCTGGGTCACAGGCCAACATGGGTGGCAGAACCGGTGTCAGATGCAGTGAGCCAAACTGAGAACCATGTGCCAGAAATAAACAGGGGCCAAGCTATTGTTAACTGCTCAGCCAAGAGAGTTAGCTGGGAAGTTGTGCCAAAGCTTACCAGCCAAAATCATGGGGAGACAGACCAGAACTGGAAAGAGCAAGGACAAGGTCCGCAGTGATGCAGGAACCATCGGAGCTCAAATCACATGGAAAAGCCTTCCGACACAGCTTGCTGCTTTCAACCACATATGACAGGCCTCTTTTATAGTTAAGTTGGGTCAGTCTTGAAACTATACTTTTCCAAGCTGTCTTGTTATATGTGAAAAGTTAAATAAATAAAAGACTCAGACCTTAGACAACCTGGCAGATCAGCATCTCCCGTCCCACTGGTAGTCTCTCAAGTCATTGCCCAGTCACCAGCGGCACTTGGCTTTAACTTCCACAGTGCTGGGTATCTATTATGTCTAGCTTATCACAATTACTAGCATTTATTGTACCCTTGTATCTAACAGACAGGATGCTAAGAGCTTTCCAGTTATATCAGTTAATCAATTCTTCAGCAACCCAATGAGATATTGTCATTATCCCCATTTTACAGATGAAGAACCTAAGGCTTAGGGAGCACAGGGTCACACTACTAGGAACCATCAGCTCAGTCTGACTCCAGAGACAACTTTTATACTACGGTGCCTCCTTTCTTATGCTACTTTTTATTAGCAGACTCTTTGCTACTAAAAGGGCCAGAAATGAGTGAGAGACTATTGCAGGTAAACTGCTGACATGATAAACTGAACAACCTGGAACATAATCTTCCCCAGGGAAGCCAGAAAGCTTGGTAAAAGCAGATGAAGAGGAATGAGCAATCCTTAAAATGTCTTTACTTTCAGCAAACAGGGTCATTTTCTCCTCTTCCATTGCTCTTCTGCTCCTGTCAACTGCTGCAGCCTGCTGTGGGGAAATCATGCAGAGGGGGAAAGTATCACAGACTTTTTTTTTTCTTTGAAACTTAGGGGAAGGGAGAAAAAGATGGGGTGGAATTCTCAATAGAGAAAAAAAATATAAATACAGTAAAAACGAAATAGAACCTCCAAATAAATAACATCTGATATCAAAAGACAAACTAAGAGCAGTAATCAAAAAGGGACAGCTAAAAAGAAATTACACAATTTTTCACAAATCTGTTACCAAAATATATTTTTTTCTATTCATACAAAATGTCAAGAGAAGCAGTATCTGAGTTAGAAAAATATGACGACTCCAAAATCCATATAGCATATCTGAAAACAACCGTGTGGCTGTGAACCCTTACAGAGTGTGTAGAATGAGAATGGAACTGGACAGACACCAACATTCAAGGGACAAGCAAAGCAGGAAGATATCTAAACGTACCTAAAAGGATATGGTCCAAGAAAATCACATGTGGCATGAAAAGTACCCCTTTAATTTAACAACTAAGAGGCATTAATGGCCTCATCAAAAGCAGATTCAATCAAATGATGGGATACAAACCATTTTACTAAGCTTATTCTAAAATGGAGGTAGGATGGCTGGGCGTGGTGGCTCACGCCTGTAATCCCAGGACTTTGAGAGGCCAACACGGGTGGATCACCTAAGGTCAAGAGTTTGAGACCAGCCTGGCTCAACATGGTGAAACCCCGTATCTACTAAAAATACAAAAATTAGCTGGGTGAGGTGGCGGATGCCTGTAATCCCAGCTACTCGGGAGGCTGAGGTAGGAAAATTGCTTGAACCTGGGAGGTGGAAGCTGAGTGACTGCACTCCAGCCTGGGCAACAAGAGCAAAACTCAGTCTCAAAAAAAAAAAAAAATGGAGGTAGGAAGATAAGAGGTCACCAAACACATGGAATGCAGAGTTGAGTGAAGATGTATAACCTAGGAAAGATTCTGACAAATAGAGGAGAGACAAACAGAAAATCTGAGGCTAAGGATACAAGTGAGGAAATGGACAACCAATGGGAGGTGAAAGAATGGGACGATGTGACGAGAGTAAGAGGGACTGACCAGGAGGACGGCAGCCTCATCCACTAAGACAGAGAGAAAGAACGTCAGTGTGCACACTGGGTAACTGCCCATGTCTTTTATATTCTCTTTGAACTAGGAGTTAGGTTGCCTAAGAATAAGTATAGAAAAGATAGAGTGGGTAAAGAAATTCAAGAGTATTTCAATGAACTGTGTAGAAATTGAAATAATAACCCATGAATTTGGTATATAATTTCCTTCAGAAGGGCTCAACAGCCTAGGTTTGTGAATTCTGAGTGGTCAGTCAATAAAGTTGATATTTGCTCTCTGCACATTCATCCTTTCATTCTCTTGTTTCTTCCATCTTCCATAAATAAAATGTGTGTCAAGTGCTTCTGTGTACTGGGCCTACAGGACAGCACTGAGCAAGACAAATAGTGCCCCTGCCTATAGAGTCTTATGATATAACAGAAGAAACAAACAGAACAGAAAATCACAGTAGCAATGAATATTATATAGGAGTTCACAGTCCTATGGAGAAAATGTAAGAGGATTGCCTAAACCTCACTAGAGGGGACAAGGAAGACTTGCTTAAAGAAATAACATTTGAGACCTGGAGGAATGATAGTTGCCTAAGGAAGAAGAGAAAGTGACAGTACACCTTGCTGATTAAGTGAATAGTTTCTCTCTGCTTTCCTAACTCCCTCTTATGCCACATCCTCTCCAATTTCCGTTATAATTCTTTTCACTAGTGTTATTTTGCATTACTCTTGACCACTGTATTAGTCTGTTCTCACACTGCTAATAAAGACACCTGAGAATAGGTAATTTATAAAAGAAAGTGGTTACCTCCATGCTGTGCTCATGAAAGTGAGTTCTCAGAAGATCTGATGGCTTTATAAAGAAGTTTTTCCCCCTTTTGCTCAGCACTTCTTGCTGTCATCATGTGAAGGAGGATGTGTTTGCTTCCCCTTTCACCATAACTATATGTTTCCTGAGGGGTCCCCAGCCATGCAGAATGGTGAGTCAATAAAACCTCTTTCTTTTATAAATTACCTGTTCTCAGGTGTGTCTTTATTAGCAGTGTGAGAACAGACTAATACAGTGGTCAAGAGTAATGCAAAATAAAACTAGTGAAAAGAATTATAACGAAAATTGGAGAGGATGTGGCATAAGTGGGAGTTAGGGAAACAGAGAAACTATTCAAAAAGTTTAATCAGCAAGTTGTACTGTCATGCACCTATAGTCTCAGCTTCTCAGGAAGCTGAAGTGGGAAGATCGCTTGAGCCCAAGATTTTGAGGCTGCAGTGAGTTATGATCACACTTCTGCACTCCAGCCTGGGTGACAGAGTGAGATCCTCTATCTAAACACAACAACAACAAAACAAACCTTTAGTTGTAAAAATAAAAGGAAAGGAGAGATTAAAAAGCCCAGGAATAACATGTGAAACATGGAGTTGAGGAATATATGACATGTTGGATCAAGGAATCTACGATATGAAAAAGGTGAAAAGCAAGGAAGATTGGGAAGAAAACAGAGGAGCCAAGGGCAAGAAATCCTAATAACATTGAAGAATAGAAGTAATAGAATAAAAAAACCGGAATAATAGAAGGCTGTAATGACAGAATGGGATATCAAAGTTCCATATTTCAGAAGTGGAATGGGGGCAAGTGATGATAAAATTTAGCATTCAACCAATGAGAAGGGGGTGAAGTTGGAAGAAGGTGGAGTAGAGGGTCAAAGTCACAGATACAGATGAAGTCAAGGCAAGTGGGGGCAGGTTGTTGGGCAGGTCATCCACATGGACACTCGGGGTATCTGGGAGAATAACAGGACTTAGAAAGAAAATGACATTGATAAGCCAGGCACCAAATCCTAAGCTCAATATAACTGAGATCTCAGAAGACTGGAAGATTTATGGTTTTATGAGATCACCAGATATAATAAGCCTTGAAGGATGGAAGATATATAAGATGGAAGATAAATGGTTTGGAATAGATACTGAAGAGCCAGGAGAATCCCAACATCTTTACACCCCAATCCCATTTGAAATGACAGAGATGGGAGCAAGACAACGGATAAGAGGCAGAGCTAACATGCATTGCATCTCCCACCTGGACAGTGAGTAGAGACTCATACTGTGATCTTTTGTTCCAAGAACCACCACAGGAATGTACCAGGAAAATCGAAAGAATTCACAGATCCTTTTAAAGAAGTGGCACACCATTGCAAATGCTGCAAGACAGATGAAAAACTGTGAGTTCCTGAAGTGTGAGGCGGGAAAACCTGTCTCTGAACACACGTCTCCATTGGGGAATCTGAAAATCCAGATCATGGGAGAAGGATTTAATCTTACCTAGAGCTGGAATGAATTTAGGGAACTGCATGAAATTAAAAAAAGTAGAAGCAGCAGTGGGAAGAAACTTGTAGTCACACTTAGGCTCCAGCTTAAGCCCAAGGAAGCCATCCCTGACTATATCTTGTAGGAGCCACCAACATTGTGGGCAGATAGGGAGGAGTGCGGCCTGAAAGGCTTACTTGCTTTCTCGGCATGGAAGCTTACGGCCTGGGGCAGGTCTGAGTTCTGTACATAGGCTGCCTGGATCTAAACTTGGCCCTGTTAGCAGAGCACTGCAGGAGTGAGACCATCCACACCAAATGCATGGGAGCTGGATGAGGCCTTTGGCTACCAGCTATCCCCTCTTTCCCTGGTGAACTATACTACACAACAGAGGCAGCCATAATGCCCTCTGGAACATAACTCCACTGGCCTGAGAACCACCTCCCCATACCCCACAGTGGCCAAAGCAAGCCCTGCCCAAGGAGAGTCTTAGCTCAGACCCACCTAACCCTGACCTGACCTTATGGTATTTCTCTATGAGCCCTAGTAGCTGAACACAAAATATAGAAATTCTTAAGAGCTTTATGGCCCCACCCATCACCTGAAAAACCAGAATACTTGCCCCAACTTAGGGCAAGTTCAAATCCCATAATTATTCCTGCAGCCGGTGTTCTCTTACAAATACCACCTCTTAGCTGAAGTCCAACCAACTCAGGACATTACCACAACTCATGACAAAGTAATACTGCTCCCAGGAAGAGGAAAACAATAGCCAACACCACTGCTTGCAACATCCTGGCTAAACAACAGTCCTGAATCTATCCATGAGATAACTTCACTGCTGGCATAACCAGCATTCAAGAAAGCCAGCACATTAAACCTATCTACACCCAGGGATCCTCACAGAGTCTACATCGCTCCCCTGCCACCTCTACCAGAGCAGGTACTGGTATCCACGGCTGAGAGACCTGAAGATGGATTGCATCACAAGACTCTTTGCAGACGTTCCCCAGCACCAGCCCAGAGCCCGCTATCCCTGCCGGGTGGCTAGATCCAGAAGACCAGTAACAATCATTGTAATTTAGTTCTCAGGAAGCCCCATCCCTAGGGGAAGGGGGAGAGCATTACATCAATGAATCACCTCATGGGACAAAGTATCTGAATAGCAAGCCTTGAGTTCCAGATCCTTCTGCTTATGGGAAGTTTTTCACAGCAGAGACAAAACTGCAGCACTGGATGCAGCAGGAGAAGTTTGCACCTGAACCCCAACAGACAGGCAGCCTCTGTGATCACGTAGGGCCTTGGAGAAGAGGTCCTTGTTCCCTACTGGCACTCCACTGCAGAGGAACTCAAATAAATCAGCAAGAAAAAAACCAAAACAACCCCATCAAAAAGTGGCCTAAGGACAAGAATAGGCAATTCTCAAAAGAAGATAAACAGATGGCCAACAAGTATACGAAAAAATGTTCAATATCATTAATTATCAGGGAAATGCAAATTTAAAACACAATGAGATACCACCTTACTCCTGCAAGAATGGCCATAATTAAAAAATAAAAAAATAACAGACGTTGGTGTGGATGTGGTGAAAAGGGAACAGTTTCGCTGCTGGTGGGAATGGAAACTAGTACAACCACTATGGAAAACATATGTGGCAATTCCTCAAAGAACTGAAAGTAGAAGTACCATTCAATCCAGCAATCCCACTACTGGGTATCTATCCCAAGGAAAATAAGCCATTATTGGAAAAAGAGACCTGAATATGCATGTTTATAGCAGCATAATTTGCAATTGCAAAAATGTGGAACCAACCTAAATGCCCATCAACCAACAAGTGGCTAAAGAAAATGTGGTATATGTACACCATGGAATACTACTCAGCCATAAAATAAAATGAAATAATGGCACTTGCAGTAACCTGGATGGAGCTGGAGACCATTATTCTAAGTGAAGTAACTCCGGAATGGAAAGCCAAATATCATATATTCTCATTTATAAATGAGAGCTAAGCTACGAGGACACGAAGGCATGAGTAAGATATAATGGACTTTGGGGGCTCGGGGGAAAGGTGGGAGTCGGGTGAGAAATAAAAGGCTACACATTGGGTAAGTGTACACTGCTCAGGTGATGGGCGCACCAAAATCTCAGAAATCACCACTGAAGAACTTATCTATGTAACCAAAAACCATCACCTGTTCCCCAAAAACCATTAAAATAAAATAAAAAATTTAAAAACCGTAACAATAAAATGACCTAATAAAAGAAGAAACAAAAGAAGGAAGGGAGGGAGGGAGGGAAGGAGGAAGGGAGGAATGGATGAAGGGAGGGACGGATGAAGGTCAGGAGGAAGGGATGAAGGGACGAGATGAGACAAGGCAGCTTCCACCCAAGAGGACTACAGGGTAAGGTTTTCTCAGGGTAAAAACAAGTTTTAGGTATAAAGAATGTGAGCATTGTTCTGTGAAAAGGTTGGGGATATACAGGCAAAAAAGGCGGTGCAGGGGAGCAACAAAAAGAAAGTATCACAGCATAATAAAGGCCATATATGAAGAACCCACAGCTAATATCATACCCAATGTTGAAATACTGGAAGTTTTTCTTCTAAGATCAGGAATAAGACAAAGATGTCCACTCACCACTCTACTCAACCCAGCACAGGAAGTTCTAGCCAGAGCAATGAGGCAAGAGAAAGAGATAAAGGCATCCAAATTGGAAAGGAAGAAGTAAAATTATCTCTGTTCACAGATGACATGATCTTATATGTAGAAACCCTAAAGATTCTACACCACAAAAAAAAAAATTTTAGAACTAATAAATTCGCAAAGTTGCAGGATACATTACACACAAAAATCGGTTTTATTTCTATATGCTAACAATGAACAATCTGAAAAGGAAATTAAGAACACAATCCCATTAACAATTGTGTCAAAAGAATAAAATACTTAGGAATAAACTTAAGCAAGTAGGGAAAAGACTTATACACTAGGCTTGGCGTGGTGGCTCACACCTGTAATCTCAGCACTTTGGGAGGCTGAGGCAGGCAGATCACGAGGTCAAGAGATTGAGACCACCATGGCCAATTTATGGTGAAAACCCATCTCTACTAAAAATACAAAAAATTAGCTGGGCATGGTGGCGCATGTCTGTAGTCCCAGCTGCTCAGGAAGCTGAGGCAGGAGAATTGCTTAAACCTGTGTGGTGGAGGTTGCAGGGAGCTGAGATTGCGCCACTGTGCTCCAGCCTGGGCAACAAGAGCAAGACTCCATCAAAAAAACAAAACAGGCCGGGTGCGGTGGCTCACGCCTATAATCCCAGCACTTTGGGAGGCCAAGGCAGGTGGATCACAAGGTCAACAGATCAAGACCATCTTGGTCAACATGGTGAAACCCCGTCTCTACTAAAATTACAAAAAATTAGCTGGGCATGGTGGTGCATGCCTGTAATCCCAGCTGCTCGGGAGGCTGAGGCCGGAGAATTGCCTGAACCCAGGAGGCGGAGATTGCGGTGAGCCAAGATCGCGCCATTGCACTCCAGCCTGGGTAACAAGAGCGAAACTCCATCTCAAAAAAAAAAAAAAAAATACAAAAATTAGCTGGGCATGGTGGTGCGTACCTGTAGTCCCAGCTACTCGGGAGGCTGAGGCAGGAGAATTGCTTGAACCCAGAAGGTGGAGGTTGTGGTGAGCCGAGATCGTGCCATTGCACTCCAGTCTGGGTAACAACAGTGAAACTCCGTCTCAAAAAAAAAAAAAAAACAAACAAACAAACAAACAAACAAAAACACTTATATACTAAAAACTATAAAACACAGCTGAAAAAATTAAAGAGGACAATTAAATAAAAAGACATCCCATGTTCATAAATTAGAAGACTCAATATTGTTAAAATGTCTATTCTACAAAGCAATGTACAGATTCAACGCAATCCCAATGGCATTTGTTGCAAAAACAGAAAAAAGCTATCCCAAAAATCATATGGAATCCCAAGAAATCCCCAAATATCCAAAACAATCTTGAAAAAGAACAAGGATGGAAGCCTCATACTTACTGAATTTAAAATATATTACAAAGCAACAGTAATCAAAACAGTGGGGTACTGGCATAAATACAGATATATAGACCAACAACAGAGAGCCCACAAATAAATCCTCATCTATATGGTCAAATGATCTTCAACAAGAATGCCAAGACCACACAATGGGGAAAGGATAGTCTCTTCAACAAACGATATTGGTAAAACTAGATATCCATATGGAAAATAATGAAGCTGAACCCCTACCTTACACCATATAAAAAACTTAACTCAAAATCTGTTAAAGACCTAAATGTAAGACCTAATATAAAACTCCTGGAAGAAAACAAGGAAAAGCTTCAGGACTCTGGAGGACTCTGGATTTAGCAATGGTTTCTTGAATATAACACCAAAAGCAGAGGCAAACAAAAGCAAAAGCAGACAAATAGAACTTAACCAAACTAAAAACAGTATATACCAAAGGACACAATCAATAAAAAGGCCAACTACAGAATAGGAGACAATATGTTGCAAATTCTATATCTCACAATGGATTTGTATGTGGAATCTATAAAGAACTCCTACAAGCCAACAACAACAACAAAAACTCAATTAAAAATGGAAAAAGGATTTGAACAGACATTTCTCCAAAGATTTTTAAATGACCAACATGCATGTGAAAAGACGCTCGACTTCCTCAATCATTAGAGAAATGCAAACCAAAACCACAACAACATATCACCTCCCATCCTTAAGGATGGCCCATATCAAAGAAACAGAAATAATAAGTGTTGATGAGGGTGTGGAGACATTGAAAACCTTGTACACTGTTGGTGGAATTGTAAAATGATGCAGCCACAATGGAAAACAGTACGAAGGCTCTTCAAAAAATTAAAAATAGAACTACCATATGATCTACAATTCCACTTCTGGGCATATATCCAAAATAATTGAAAACAGGATCTCCAAGAGGTATCTGCACACTCAAGTTAATTATAGCATGACTCACAATAGTCAAGAGGTAAAAGCAACCAAAATGTCCATTGACAGATATAAAGGCCATACCCCTTTAAATGTAAAGAATATATCTTTACATTTAAAGATAATATAGGCCGGGCACAGTGGCTCACACCTGTAATCCCAATACTTCGGGAGGCCGAGACAGGCGGATCACCTGAGGTCAGGAGTTTGAGACCAGTCTGGCCAACACAGTGAACCCCTATTTCTGCTAAAAATACAAAAATTAGCCGGACATCATGTACGCGCCTGTAGTCCCAGCTGCTCAGGAGGCTGAAGCAGAAGAATCACTTGAACCTAGGAGGCAGAGGTTGCAGTAAGCCAAGATCACATCACTGTACTCCAACCTGGGCAACAGAGCAGGCCTCTGTCTCAAAAAAAAAATAAAAGGTAAAGATAATTTCAACATTATGGACATTATAAGTTATATAAGCCAGCGACAAAAAGACAAATACTATATGACTTACTGAAAGTGATCAAACCCCTAGAAACAGAAAGCAGAATAGTGGTTGTCAAGGGCAGAGGGGAGGGGAAAATGGGCAGTTGTTCAACAGGTACAGAGTTTCAGTTTTGCAAGATGAAAACATTCTAGACGTTTGTTGAACAACAATGTGAATATACTTAACACTATCCAACTATAGATTTACAAATGGTTAAATGTTTGTGTCCTGTGTTTTTTTAACACGATTTTTAAAAAAGCCTAAATAGTACCAACTCATGCAAGAGAACAGTCTGAGAAAAAGAAGAGCAGTAGGACCATGGGAGTTTGCGTCTGGGGCAGTAACCTTGAATGACAAGGGTGGAAACAGCATAATGAGTCCTCTGGGCTGTCCCCACACTTCTGGTTCAAGCTGTTTCAGATCCAATTTAGAATGAGGCCTCCGTTAGTCCTGAAGACTTAATGGTCCTTTTTTAAAGTCTCAAGACTACATGGGCAAGAACTTACTATGGTTCCTCTAAAGACATCCTGAACAGAGCACACAGTTCTTCAAATCTTCACCTAGTCGTAGAAACCGCAGTAATCCTCAGTGGGTGGGAATTCCCCCCGACTGACCTAGCCATGGCCTAGATTGAATGCTCCTACAAGGGGGCTATCCTAGCCTTTCCTTGAGGACTCAAGTGTAGTTAAAAAAAGAAGCAGCCAAACATTTCATGCTCCCTTTGTTAATCCTTTTGTTTTTTTAATTACAAATTTTAAGCTCCTTATGTCTGCTCTTTTCCTTAGATGCTGGCTAACGGAATTTGAGTGCTTGGCCTTGACAATACTTAGAAAGAAAAGAAGGGTAATATATTCCAATTTTTCCACAGCTGCAAAAAAAAAAAAGCAGACATCATGTTGTATCATAAAGTTATTTTCACAGTGGTGAATTGAAAGTGTTCACAAAATATCAGTATGAATCTCTTTTCCAATGCGGAGACTTCTAATGCAGAGTTCTGTTTTCTGTTCAACAAAGCAGTCATTTGAGACATCTGGATTTCAGTGTTGCTACATATTTAAAATGTAGTCCTTAATCCCCAGATGACTGCAATGTCATTGGCTGTCTTCATTATTTGTATAATTTTATACAAAAACTTCTCTGTTTATTTAAATCTTATTAGCATATTGAACCAGAAGAGGAGTTCCGGCACTTTCTGCTCCCTCCATGCATGAAGACTAATAAAAACCATGACTCCTCTGAATTCCTTATTTAAACAAAAGGTTTGAAAGTCTACTTTTCATTTAAATTAATGTAGGCTCAAGGGATAGATGAGGAGAGTCACAGGGGACGGAGGAAGCAAATTCAGTAAGAGTCCCTCGATGACAGATCAAGAGACTATAGCAAGAAATGGAAGGAATAAAATCCCAGGGAGACATGAGGGTTCCAGTCCCTGCTTACTTCTGTGAAAGGAAACTAAATCTTGGGGCCCCAAAATCGCTAAAGAAAAAAGTTAAGCTGGGAACTGCTTGGGGCAAACCTGCCTCCCATTTATTTTTTTTTTTTTCTTTTGAGACAGGGTCTCACTCTCTCACCCAGACTGGAGGGCAGTGGCGCAATCTCAGCTCATGGCAACCTCTGCCTCCCAGGCTTAAGCAATTCTCCTGCCTCAGCCTCCTGAGTAGCAGGGATCACATATGCACGCCACTATTACCTGGTTAATTTTTGTATTTTTAGTAGAGACAGGGTTTGACCAGGCTGGTCTTGAACTCCTGACCTCAAATGATCCACCTGCCTTAGCCTCCCAAAGTGCTGCGATTATAGGCATGAACCACTGCACCAGGACACCTCCCATTCTATTGAAAGTCATCCCTCTGCTTACTCAGATAAAGGCATGTCTGAGTGCCTACTTTGGAGAGGCTACTCAGAATGGTCACAGGTAGATATAACCTGGAGGCTCCCTCCCTACTTCCAGTTGTCTCACCTTTGTTTCAAGTTGTCCCACCTTTCCAGACCAAAAGCAGCATTCAACGTATATACTGATTGATGTCTCCTAGCTCCCAAAAATGTATAAAACCAAGCTGTGCCCAACCACCCTGGGCACATGATGTCAGGACCTCCTGAGGCTGTGTCACAGGCTCACATCCTTAGCTTTGGCAAAATAAACTTAACGAATTGATTGAGACCAGTCTCAGATTGTGGGGGTTCACACTACTAACTTGGGAAAGGACTTATCTTTCTCTAGGATGTCTTAATTTCTTCAACTACAAATAAAATGAATAAAAAGAGCTTCTTTTCTGATCTCACTACTTTAATCTCTATCCACTGGATATGAGTATACATGTAGTTCCAGTTCCGGTTACAAGAAGTCTTTGTTTCTGCTTTGAACAGCATTTATTTTTCTTTTACACCACAAGTTTCATAGAGATAAGCACAGCTGAACAAGGTTTTAACCTGAGGCCCTATTGGGCAGTTTTGCTACAGGTGCAAAGGTGGGGTAGGGCTGTCAGATAGTTACCAGTGTTTTCCATAGAGCCAATTGCCTCCCCAGGTCAGCAGGCAAAGCCCAGCTGTGGTTTTCTTCCAATGATTTCGAAGTGTTTTAAAGAACACCATCATCTTCTAGAGATTTTCTAGGTTAGTAGAAGAAAAAGAAAATAATATGTAATTTATCCATAATCATCACATAATGTCCCTATTACTCTGACTTCCATTCTTTCATCCTCTCTCACTCCTTTTTTTCCCCACTCACTCCTTTTACCCCTTTCCAGTTCTCCTCTGGCCTCAGCTCATCTTCTCCCTTCTATTCTCATCAACTTCATCTTCTCACCCACCCACATATCCACCTTTCTTTCTTCCTTCACATATTTCTACCTAAACTATACTTCTCTCTCTGATGACTTTTTCCTCATTGTAATGGAAGAGGGAGGGGCAGAAAGAGAGGAAGGGAATTCCAGGCTTCCTCTGGTTTTTCTAACTCCTTACAGCCTGACTTTACCACTGTTCAAGAGTAGATATTTGTCTCTCCATCATAAGTGTCCCCAAAACACATTAATAATAGAAAGGGCTAGTTCAAAAGTGAAGAAAACGCCAGGTCCTTAATAGGAAAACAGAAATTTGCATAGAAAACTCAATCAAGAGGCAATGCACATGGCTATGGGAAAACGTTCAACTTCCTGAATATTCAAAGGCATGCAAATTACAAAGAACTATCATTATTGACCAAAATAAATTTTTAAATGATCATATTCACTGATGACATAATAAAATGATAGACACTCATATACTCCTTTAAAGAAGGTAAATTAGGAAGACTTTACTAAAAAACAGTGACAATATAGAGTATCTTTATTCTTCATGAGACTTATTATTTGATGATGCTTATATTCATTTGCTAGTTTGTTTATTAGCCTAATCCTGCTGGAACGTAAACTCCATGGGAGTAAGGACATTGTTGCGGTCACTGCTGTATCCCAGGCCTAAAGTAAGATCTGGCACACAATAGCTGTTTAAGAAATATTTGTTGCATGAATAAGTGATATAGTAATTAAATATTTTTTTACCCCAAATTTTTATTGATGTGGAAAAAACCCAAAACATAATGTTAAGTAAAATTAGCAGGAATTATCCCAATTATGTTCAAACATGAGTCTACATCAAAAAAATACCAATAGAATTAAACAAAAACAAAATTTTTTTTCTTAGGGTCTCACTCTGTCACCCAGGATGTAGTCCAGTGGCATAGTTGTAGCTCACTATAACTTCTAAGCCCAAACAATTCTCCTGCCTCAGCCTCCCGAGTAGCTGGGACTACAGGCACATACCACCACTCCTGCCCTTCCTTTCCTGTCCTTCCCGTTCTTCCTTCCATCTGTCTGTCCTTTCTCTCTCTTTTCTTTCTCCTCTAACCTTGCCCATCCAAATTGCTGGGATTACAAATGAGCCACTACACCTGGCTCAAAAAAAAATTTTTAAATTAGATCCCTCTAGGTTGTGGAATGGTGGGTGATGTTTATTTTAAAAATTACAATGTACTTTCTAAGTTTTTGAAAATGAACTTAATTACTTTCTAGATAAATATTTAAGCAAAAATTTTTATGACTATCTGTTAGTGAGATATATAGACCAAGGAAAAAAAACAACTGTTTCCACTTAAGGGTCCAGTTCTTTGATTACTCCCTTTAAATCCCATTCATTAAAATTCCTTTCGAGGGGAAAAAAACATCCTTATCGCAAGCAGCAGTGAAGCCAGTGCCAGGGAGCCATCTTCCTGTGACTTCTCCACACCATCAGGCTGACACATGATTCCAAAGGCATACCTGATTCTTAAACTCCTCTCCATTTGGCCCTAAAACATTCCTCATTCAAGAGGCCTTTAATAAACACCTACATAGTAGGTTCTGTGCTGGGAGTGAGGGCAGAGAAGAATGGGTCTCATTCATTCTCAAGTGCTCACAACTGTCAAACCCACAAGGATAACAATTATACAATTATGCTTGCCATACAGTGGGATAAAGGTCGAGGAGTCAGCGCCAAGCTCTGTGAGTGTCTGCAAGAATGAACCTAATCTGGTCTAAGGCTGAGGGGGTGGTGCAGTCAGGGAAGTCTTCCCTGAGCCTTGAAGAATGAGGAGTCACCAAAGTAACGAAGAAGCCTTTTGTATGTGCTATTGTCTGAATGCTGTGATCCTCCAAAATGCTGATGTGGAAGCCCTATTACCAATGAGAGGGTAGTAGGAGACAGTCTTCGGGAGATAATTGGGTCATGAGAGTGACCATGAAAGGGATTAGTGTCCTTAAAGAATAGACAGTACAGAGATGGTCTCTGTGCATTATGAAGACACAGAAGATGACAGTTATCTGCAAACTGAGGAAGAGGGCTATCACCAAGCATTCAACCATGCTGGCACCCTGACTTTGGACTTCCAGCCTCCCAAACTGTGAGAATAAATGTTCATTGTTTAAGCCACCCAGTCTTTGGTATTTTTGTTACAGCAGCCCAAACTGAGTGTACAAAGGCATAAAAGACAGCAAAGTACGTTGAGAGAAACATACACAGGCAATGAGGGGAGAAGAGATTTTCTCACCCATCATTAGGTTTTATGGCTGAGACCGCTGTAACAAGAGATTAACAAGAGAAAAGCATACAAATGTATTTAATGTAAGTTTTAGGTGACACAGGAAACTTCATAAGAAAATTAATACCCAGAAACAGGTAAATTCATGTATTTTTATGCTAGGATTGATGAAGTGTGGACAGCTATGGAAAAGTATGACTGGAAAAAGGGGGTGTGATCTAATGGTAATAAGGTGGAGAGAACTGAGCAAGGCCTGTTTGTTCAGATTCTTCTCTGTGTGCCGATGTCCTCAAAGATGAGGGCATTCCTTTCCTCCATCCTGTACTTACAGGATGAGCACCTCTCACCGGAGGGTCTTATACAGAGGAAGGTCAAAGAATTATTTTATGGCCTGCTTCAGGGAAGGAGAGTGGGAAGCCACAAAGTGACCTTCCTGCTTTGTTTCCTCTAATGCAAACGTGTCATATTTTGGGGCAATGTGTCCTGAACCCTGTCAACAGCAGAGTGAAAATTGGAGTGTCTAGAACAGGGGTTCTCAATCTTTAGTGTAGAACTGGTTAAAAACACAGAATCATGGGAACTGCCCCCTTCCCCAAGAGTCTCATTTATTCTGGAATTCAGCTGTCATCTTCACTTTTAACATGTTGGCTCTAATGGAGGTCACTGCTACATCAGACTTTGAGAAACAGTGGTTTAGAGATAAAGGATTGAGGACCAGGGTGGATTAGAAAATACCTTCAACCCACACTAAGGACTTAGGCTATTATTTTGAAGGCAATGAAAACTATTTAGTGGGCTTTAAGCAGGTGGGTGATATAATCATATCTGAACTGTTAAAAGACCACTTTGCAGCAGAAGGAAAAATGAAGTGAAAGTAGCTAAAATTAAAGCTAAGGAGAACCATTAGGAAGTAATTGCCATCGAAATCTCTAGGCACCTAAAAGAACAAACCAAGATAAAGGATGGATCTGGAAATTTTGAGAAAATAGAAATTGGCAGCACTTGGTGGTCCACTGACTGTAGGAAGTGAGAGAGGAGGAACCAAGCCAGGTTTTTGTGGTTGGGTGACTGATTGAATAGTGACTTCAATCACTTAGATTTGGGTGGTGGGTCTGCGAAGGAAAGTAGTGCGGTTTAGGGGACACTGAATTTGACACGCCTGTGGAGCATCCGGGTGGAAATGTTTTTCTCACTAGAGGGTGAACCCCTCATGGGTAAGTTCTGTCTATCCCACTGCAGCACCAGAACCTGGTAAAACGCCAGAATGAATGAACCAACCAATCCATCTATGGATCGGATATTCTTGGCCCCATTTTGCAAGGGACTATGCTGAAGCCCAAGAGACAGAGTAAGTGAGGGACCACAAGTTAGCGATAGCTCTGGAACTCGAACCCAGGACAGCTGACTCTCGCAGTGACCGCAGGATCTGCCCGGGGCCCTCCCGCGCCGCGCGGGCCAGGCCCGCACCCCTACCCTCAAGCAGCGCCAGCGCCCGCACCCACAACCCCAGATGCTCGGGTCCCCGCGGCTCCCGGCCCTGCGCGGCTCCGGAGGCTCCGCCCAGCGCCCCGGTCCCCCATCCCCACTCCCACCCCGCTGGCACGCCCGATTCCAGCTCTCCGCTATCCGCTCCCCGCCTGGGCGCCGCTGCACTCACCACGAGTGGTCCCGCTCGCAGCTCTGCCTTTTCCTGTGTGCTCCCTCCAGATTCCCCGGCTCGTTCAAGGGAAACCGCTACTGCCGCCCTCGGGTTCCGCCGCGGGGCTGAGCGCGCGCTCGAGCGGGGTGGGGGGAGGAAACCGGCTCGCCTGCCCTAGGACAGTGGGGGTGCCTGGGCCCTCCGCCCTGTGGCTGCCTTTCCCCGCGATCCCTCGTTTATTGGCTCACTCATCCTTCCATCCATCCATCCTTTGCGTAATAATATTTGATGGGAAGCCTGCCAAGGTAACACTGTTTTAGCACCTGGAACTAAATCGGAAAATAAATTAACTAAATGAACAAGGCCATTGAAGATGGTGCTTCGTGCCACGAAGAAAATGAAACCGGGTGATAAAAGGCAGGGTGGGCGGGGGGAGAACTGCGTGGAATTAGGGGGCTGTGCTAGGCCTTCTGAGTAAGGGGCCATTGGTCTGAGACTTGAATGTCAAGAAGGAGCACCTGAACCAAAGATCCAAGAGAGAGAGAGAGCCTGGAGAGGGAAGGGCCTGTGCAAAAGCTCAGAAGCGAGGCAGAGAGAGCTAAGGAGAAAGGCCAATCGAGGAAGCTAGAGAGGTGGAGGCAGGCCGCAGGCGGCCAGGAGTTTGGACATGACATTACACAGAGCCAGAAGGCATTGAGGGGGTTCAGTCAGGGGCTGCTGGGGCTGGTTTCCATTTCACACATCTCTCTGGCCACAGTGCCTGAATGGATTCTAGAGTGGAAGACAGCAACGGAGAAGCCAGGCCAATACCAACCTCCAGTTACTCAGAACTCGCACTCCAAATTGGTGTGGGGACCAAGCCAGGTCCTTCTTCCTTCCGGCATTCAGCCAGGCAAGGTCTCACTCTGTCACTCAGGCTAGAGTACTGAGGCCTAATCTCGGCTCATTACAACCCCAGCTTCCCAGGTTCAAGTGATTCTCGTGCCTCAACCTCCCAAGCAATTGGGATTACAGGCCTGCACCACTAGGCCCAGCCAAATTTTTTTGTATTTTTAGTAGAGCTGGGGTTTTGCCATGTTGGCCAGGCTGGTCTCAAACTCCTGACCTCAAATGATCCACCCGCCTCAGCCTCCCAAAGTGCTGGGATTACAGGTGTGAACTATCACACCCGGCCAGTCAATGAACATTTGAGTGTGTGCTAGGTTCCGCAACAGGCACTGGGGGTGTGCTCAGATACAGCGCCCTTCATGGTTCCTGCCCCATGGAGCTTGCTATCTAGTCTGTGCATTTTCTACATGTAGACATGCATCCTACCTATGTCTCCCTAGGTGAATGCTTCAAAAAAAAAATGCGAACATTCAGTAAGGTTATAGTGGAGTAAACATATTACTTATGCCAGGTGCACCAATCATCCTCATTAGGCCACACTATTTAGTAGCAGGACCTTTCTAGCCCTCTCTCCTGAGTTTCCACCTGTAAACTAGGAGACTGAGAACATTATCATTTCATGTGTGTAAGGCCATTTGTGAAGTCCCACACTTGGCCTCAGTACAAACCTCCAGTGTCCCATTCCTCCTCTCTGCCCATCCTAATCACATCCTTCCTGCAGAGCTCACTTCCATGTAGCCTTTCCCGACAGCCATGCTCTTGTCGACCTGCCCCTTTCTTGAATGATGGTAATATTTTTAGTCTGCATCACTTATTTCTGCTATGCATCATGGATTTTTATCAGAAGAATGGAAAGATAGGAGATAAAGGGAATTTGAATACACATCTGCAGGTAGATGTGTAGGCCGAAGTTTTGGAGACCTATATCAATTCTACTGTCTTCCGAATCCCATTTTACTAGGATGCATACAGACTCCAGAATAATCTGGCTCAAGCTCTAGCCATTCCTGAATGGGTTCCTCCAACCCAAAAGAAACCTGACACTCTGACTTAGGCATCCCCAAGAACTTCTGTTAGGCTGGGCGTAGTGGCTTAAGCCTGTAATCCCAGCATAGTGGGAGGCCAAGGCAGGTAGATCATCAGCCTGGCCAACATGGTGAAACCCTGTCTCTACTAATAATACAAAAATTAGCCAGGTGTGGTGGCAGCTGCCTGTAATCCCAGCTACTTGGGAGGCTGAGACAGGAGAATTGCTTGAATCTGGGAGGTGGAGGTTGCACTCCAGCCTGAGCAAGAAAAGCAAAACTCTGTCTCAAAAAAAAAAAAAAATAAGAACGATTAGTCAAGGACTGACATGAGTTCCATCTCATAGAGGAACTCCTGGCGAGTTCCTCTGTTAATCTATGTTGAGGATCTACAATGCCAGAGAAGACTCAGGACTGACACCCTGGTCCTTAGATGCCTGTAATAGCACCTCAGGCAAAGTCCCCGAGACTCAATGGCACATTCCTGACACAGAGAATACCAAAGATAGATCCAAATGTGCACAGCCAGAGAGAAGGGCTTGGCTTATGTACTTCCTTTTCCATGTTCTTTGTTCACTATCACTAACAGCTGAGTGAGGTTCCCAAGGAGGAGAAAAGCCATCCCTAGCAGCTATTTGAAATTTGCCTTTGTCTTCAGCTCTGCCTGGTATCTTCAGAGAAGAACATTTTGCACTGTCAAAGACAGGGACTTTTGTCTCTTTTTACCTCTAACGCAATGCCACGTATAATACTTTTGGATATTAAAATAAGCAACACATTGAAGTATGGGCCCCAATTGCTTATAAAATGAATTTATGTTCCCTTGAGAGCATACGAAGAAATGTACTGACTGACATCCAGTAACTCTAAGGAATGGAAGAGTCTTACTATATCTCAAGATCTCTAGCATTTTCCAAATATGGTGGCAGACCATCCCAGTAGCTTCTCATTTGTCCAGAGCCATTCATGAGGTAACATAACATTCTTTTGGCCAGAATTTGTTTTGTTTGTTTTTCATTCTTTTTTTTTTTTTTTTTGAGACGGAGTCTCACTCTGTAGCCCAGGCTGGAGAGCAGTGGCGCAATCTCAGCTCACTTAAACCTCTGCCTCCCAGGTTCAAGCAATGCTCCTGCCTCAGCCTCCCCAGTAGCTGGGATTGCAGGTGTGGACCACCACGCCCAGCTAATTTTTGTATTTTTAGTATAGACAGAGTTTCACCATGTTGGCCAGGCTGGTGTCGAACTCCTGACCTCAGGTGATCTGCCCATCTCTGCCTCCCAAAGTGCTGGGATTACAGTCTTAAGCCACCGTGCCTGACCTTGGCTCAGAGTCTGTTATTAAGGATGTGAGAGGGAAATGACTTTGGCCTAGAAATAGGGTGAGAAGGAACTAAGACAGGAGTGCCATGGTCATTCAACAAGAGTTTTTCACTCTCCAATCAGATGCCTCCTACTGTGGAAGAGTGTTCAAGAACATGAGACGAGAGAAAGAATTGAGATTTAAGGTAGTCCCACATTTTCATTTCTTGCTCATTGACAAGATACATGGAGATATGTAATTTTTTATATGTGTATAAAAAATTCTCATACTTGCAACCTCCCTCTCAGTTGCTACATCAACTACATACAACTAGAACAGCAATGATGGCATGCTGAATTGCTGTCAATTGATTACCTAGAAAGCGGGGACTGTGTGGCTCTCACTTCTCAGTTACCCCTCCCTGCCTTTGCCACTTCCCTGAAGCCCCTGAAGTTGGTCAGCTTCACTCAAGCTGGTGGTATAATAAAATCCATTGCAGGGGTAGGATTTGGAGTGGTTGGCAAACCCACCACTAGAGCCTGAAGCTTACAGGTGCAAAACAAAAAGGAAGGAAGGAAGACTGGTGGTATAAATAAACCAAAGGTAAATGGAGCCTCCTTCACCATTAATTCTTAGCTTCATTCGTAACTATTATGTTGTATTATTAAAGTGTATTGCGCATTTTATCTCTTTACCCAACATTCATTGCCCCCATCTTCCTTCCTAATAGGACCTAAATTCTGTTCAGACATCTACTTTTCATCTCCCCAGCCCATTTGCCTGTAACTACAAAGCAAGTGACTAGATAACCCCATTCCCCATTGCCAGGGGTTGGTTTACACTCACTTTAGGGAATCACAGTCATTCCTCTTCCGTCTCCAGTGACTAGATTAGGAATAGATCATGTCGCTCGATTTAGAACAGTCTTAAAAAGAAGTCTGCTGAGAGATCTCTAGGAACGGTTTCCTTCTTCTTAAAAGGGAAATTTCCATTCAAGAAAGAAATAGCAATCAACATTAAAAACATTATGCTAGGTGAGCTGGGTGCGGTGGTTCACACCTGTAATCCCAGCACTTTGGGAAACTGAGGCAGGTAGATCACCTGAGGTCAAGAGTTCAAGGCCAGCTGGCCAACATGGTGAAACCTCATCTCTACTCAAAATAGGAAAGTTAGCCGGGTGTGATGGTACTTGCTTGTAATCACAGTCACCTGGGAGGCTGAAGCAGGAGAATCTCTGCAACCCAGGAGGCAGAGGCTGCAATGAGCCATGGTCACGCCACTGTACTCCAGCCTGGGTGATAGAGTGAGACTCCATCTTAAAAAAAAAAAAGAAAAGAAAAAGCCATTATGGTAGGTGAAATAGGCCAGTCACAAAAGACCACATAGTGTATGACTCCACTTACATGAAACCACCGGAAGTGGAAGATGCCTGAATATGGAACATGGATTAGAGGCTGCCTAGGACAACAGCTGCAGGAGGTTGGGTGAAGTGGGAAATGACTGCTAATGGGCATGGGATTTGTTTTTAGGGTAATGCAAATGTTCTAAAAATTGATTATGGTGGTGGTAGGACAATTCTATGAATATACTAAAAACCAGTGAAACATAAATTTTAAGTGGGAAAATTGTATGGTATGTGAATTATATCTCAATAAAGCTATTTTTTTTTTAAAAAAGAGAGATGGTAGCACTTTTCTCCTGTAGGATCATATATGTGTACATAATGCCTGAAACTGCTGTAGTCACTCTTCATCCATGAAGGGAGCCAGCCCCGGGACAAAGCCAACTCACAGAGACTGTCACAGGGAAAAGATAAAGGGCCCAGGTCCTCAATGACATCACGGAACCAAATGGTTGTACTATGTCTGGAGTTTGCCCAAACTCTGGGACATCCTATTATGTGAAATAATAAATTCCCTTGTTGATTAGGCTAGAGTTAGGGTTTTCTGTTCTCTGGAGCCATGAGTACCAACCTAATAACTGCAAGCCATAAGCTATATTGGTAGATAGGAAAAACAATGAGGACAGCGTTTTTTGGTTTTTTTTTTTAACGATAACAAGGTGTTTTGTTTTGTTTTGTTTGTTTTTGAGATGGAGTCTCACTCTGTTGCCCAGGCTGGAATGCAGTGGCACAATCTCGGCTCACTGCAACCTCTGTGTCCCAGGTTGAAGCCATTCTCCTGCCTCAGCCTCCTGAGTAGCTGGGACTATAGGTGCGTGCCAACATGCCCAGCTAATTTTTGTATTTTTAGTAGAGACAGGGTTTTACCATATTGGCCAGACTGGTTTCAAACTCCTGACCTCATGATTCACCCACCTCAACCTTCCGAAGTGTTGGGATTACAGGCGTGAGGCACCACACCTGGCCAATGGCAAGGTCTTAAGGGTGAAAATCGATGACAGAAGAGAGCAAGCTGACATCAACGGGATGCTTAACCTTTTGTTTTTCCTAAAAGCATCCCTCAGTCATTTCCCTGGACCTTGGACCCATGCTATGCTCTTTTTCTATAGATTCACTAACACTAAAATAGAGTTAAAAGGTCAAAAAAATGATATAGTGTTCTTATCACCATTAGTAACCTTATATGTAGCATCTCCAGTGAAATCTGCTTGTGGGAATAGATGCTCCCAGAGTCAGTACTTTGATCCTGGAAAATTAAGTACAAATTCTTTTAACACTTACCTTGGTTTATTTGCTCATTTTTTTTGTATACAGATACTTCTTTAGACTAAGTTGTTTCCCCTAAGGAAAAAAATAGGAAATGGTGTTCTTGTGGTATTTATGCTTAAAATCCTTTCCTTATTACGACCTTTAATATCCACTGAATCCATTGCTACCAGATTGGAAACATGTAAATGAGGCCTTTCAAGAAACCAACAGGTTCCTAGGAGACAGAATATTTTTCACATTATTGCATGAGATTTTATAAGAAACCTCTGTGCTGCCATTGTCACCCCTGATCTATACGGGCCCTGCCTTTTCCTGATGTGACTCCTCTGGTTAATGTGTCTTCTTGTCATCTTTTGCCACTTATTCCTCCTGACTCCAGCTAGGCCCTGGTTGGCACTTCCAGCTGCCTGTTTAATATGACAGTGAGTAGGAACAAAGGTGGGGACCTCACTGATTGTAACAAGCCCGGTCTCCAATATTGTTTTGTAAATTTTAGTCTCCAGGAGTAACCAATATTCTACATACCCTGGAATAAGAAAAGGGAAATTCTACCTGGAATGATTTTGTTTTTTACTTTGGTAAGTTATTTTTTTCATTTCCAGGAGCATTGAGTCCAGCAGTTTTTTTGTTTGTTTGTTTTTTGGGGAAAGAAACAAATTTCAAACAAAATAATGATTATGGTCGTGTCATCCTAATAAATTACCATATAATAAAAACTTTAAATTTTCTTATTCTTTTAACTATGAATTGCTCTAAGTATAGGGCGCATTCAGGAAAAGGCAGGGCCCATGGAGATAGCTCTAAGTATAGGAGAACAACAGGTGCTCACCATCATTATAAGACTTTTTTGGCATTGTGGTTCTGGCAAAGTAGTAGACCTAAAAAGTCTCCTTATTCCAATACCTAGAAATTCTGGGTAAAACATAACAAGAGGATTCATAGTGCATAACTGAACTTGCCATAAAGAAAGCTTCATCCCATGGGGCCAGAAAATAAGCAGCACCTGAAAGCTAAAATGGAAATACATGAGCTGATGATATGATTGCCTGACTTGAAAGTTCCCGCTCAACGATCTAGGAGCTATATCTTGGCACCCACAGAGACAGAAGACATGAGAACTTGGGTCCTCTAAAGTCAGAGAGCTGGAGGTAAAACCTCTGACTACATCACTGGGGCGGTGAGGGGGAATCTACTCACCAATGTAGGAAGATGACAAGGAAGCTGTGTGTCCCCGCCCAAGCTCTAGGTGGAAAAAGACCTTCCTAATAAGTGGTAACACCAAATCTGTGCCTAGATTGGGTTTCCTGATTTGAATACACATTATCTCAGTGGTACAGATGTCTCAAAACTGGGAAAGTTAATATAAAAATTGGTCCCATACTGATAATAGCTTTGAGTATCTGACAGAAGAAAACATAAAGGTCTCTGAGGGAATGTTCCCACGCCAGGTCAAAAAGGATTCTCATATTTTTTAAAAGACTTTCTAAAGATGTCACAATTTTTAAAAATCACAAAATACATGAAAAAAATGATTTACTTTGAGTGACTGAGGCAAAAAAAAACACAAAAAACATAGGAGAATTAGAACCCCACAAACTGAAAGTAATCGAATTATAGTTTGCAATGAAGTAGTTCAAACTGATCAAAATCATTACTAAAGATATACAAATTGAAACCTTAAGAAGAAAACAAGGCACAAAGGAAAACAAAATAGCAAATCTTTAAAATAACTCAGTATAATACTGAGAAATTTAAGAAATGCATAGTTGTCAAAGTGAAAACTTCAGTGACACGTTAAACAGGAGATGAAACGCAGCTGTTGAGAACTAGCAGGCAGAAGGGAGGGTAGTCACCAAGCACAGCAATAGGAGAAAAAAGACAGGCAAAACATAAATAAGGGTTAAGATGCTGGAAGACAGAATGAGATCCAATAGATGCCTAATAGGAATGAGAGAGCAGAGACATGGGAAGAGGCAGTATTCAAAATATAGCAGCAGGCTGGGTGCGGTGGCTTATGCCTGTAATCCCAGCACTTTGTGAAGCTGAGGCGGGCAGTTCACTCGAGGTCAGGAATTTGAGACCAGCCTGGCCAAACATGGTGAAACCCCATTGTTACTAAAAAAAGTACAAAAATTAGCTGGGCGCGATGGTAGGCCCTTGTGATCCCACATACTCAGGAGGCTGAGGCAGGAGAATCCCTTGAACCCAGGAGGCGGAGGTTGCATTGAGCTGAGATCAGGCCTCTGTACTCCAGCCTGGGTGACAGAGCAAGATTCTGTCTCAAACAAACAAAAACAGCAGACACATCAGACTGAAACTGCAGAACATTAAAGGCAAGTTTTACAGGGAAGCAAAGGGAATTAAATGAAAACAGAAATGCATGTGACCTTACAAAAGGGAAACACGAGTGGATGTTGCAGTTCTTGGTTCTGCCACTTGCTGCTGGGCTGTGGCTGTGATTCTGACTTGCCCCTCTGTAATTCATTTCATGCCTCCTCACTTCAGGCCAGCCCTCAGCTGGCTAGGCTTTTTGGTTTTTGTTCGTTTTTTGTTTTAGTAGAGATGAGGTTTCACCATGTTGGCCAGATCAGTCTCGAACTCCTGGCCTCAAGTGATCCACCTCCTTGGCCTCCCCCGAGTTATTCCCCCAATTCAGCCTCCCAAAGTGTTGAGTTAGGCTTTTTGGTTTGTTTTGTTTTTGCAGGGCATAGTGGGGGTCTGATCTTCAGTCCTGGGGAATGGATTTCTGGGTCCTGCCCGGTTGGAAATGCAGTCATCTTTCATTAACACTTGCACTGGACATGGCAATAAAAAGAGGTTCCCAGAGTGTCCCTCTAGGTTTCATGCATTCACCTCCCTGCCCTCATTATACAGCAGCAACTTTATTTCCCCTTGAAAATTGTGGCAAAGTATCCCTGATGTGAAAAAATCTTTTGCTTAGGGCCTCTGGTGACTTGCTTCCCTTCCCTCTTTAGCAGGCTTAACTGTAAACTGAGTAGGTAGGACTGAGCCAGCTTAACAAAGAATGCAAAATCTCTGGCTTGGTGTGCAGACTCCCCTAGCTAAGCTCCAGATCCTGCTCATTTCCTTGCTGTGGATGCTCCCAGCATCACATAGTAGCAGAACCAGGTGTTTCTGTCTATCTCCCAACCTCCCTAGAAATATGTAAAGCAAAAGGGACAAGATTCCATTCCTGGAGGACTTTCCACAGCATGACCAGCTGTGCCCAATCCAAGAACATCTCAAAATGAAATAATAAGAATTTAAAGGATCATGCCATATGCACTCTCTTCCTTCTCCTCCCCACTTTGCTGCCTTTACTGTAAGTTTTTCTCAATAAACCTTCCTTTGCATTTCAGTAGTATTTGTATGATACAAGGTGTGTATGTGTCTGTATGTGTGTGTGCAGATGTGTGCATGCTCACCCATACCCCTTGCACATTGCTAGCTGTCTCAGCCTGGGTTCCTCAGTAAGTGGAGTTTGTAGGTTAGGGCTCATGTGTTGTTACTTTATTAAGACATCTAATTCCAAATGGGATGATGAGACAGGACAGCCGAAATGAAGATGTGGTACTGAGCTGACCACTGTTAAGTATAACCAATTGCTTCATTCAAAGGGACAATCCTCCAAAAATCCATGTAAACGGAGTCTCAAGAACCATCCCATAGTGGAGAGGTAGGTGGAAGGATTTATCCACCAGCTCTTGCCTCCCGCTGGTCAAAGATTTGCCCTACAGTGTGTTAACAACCTCCACGTCCAGGAAGCACAGGTGTGGGTGCTGAGCAGGGCTTCACAGCTGTGCCAACAAGGATGACCAGGGAGAGGAGGCAAGAGGCTCAGGTAC